AAAGAAAAGGAAAAAGAAACTCATTCTAGCAAGGTCAAGTAATTTGGAGGCCCAATGGAGGGGTAACCAGAATAACAGAGGAAGTCAGACAATCCTGAATTTAAATGCCTTTCTGCCACTTGCCTCCCATGGTACTTTGCGCAAGTCATTGCTCCTTCAAAAGTTCCCATATGTATGAAATTAAGATAATGTCTTCCCTGTAGGGCTGTGAAACTAAATAAGCTAATAGGACTATTTTAACATTCATCAGTGGCCAGGCAGAGTGACACATGTCTATAATTCCAGCACTTTGGGAGACCAAGGCAGGTGGATCACCTGAAGTCAGGAGTTCAAGACCAGCCTGGCCAAAATGGTGAAACTCCATCTCTACTAAAAATACAAAAAAATTAGCCAGGCATGGTGGTGCATGTCTGTAATCCCAGCTATTTGGGAGGCTGAGGCAGGAGAATCACTTGAACCTGGGAGGTGGAGGTTGCAGTCAGCTGAGATCACACAACTACACTCCACTCTGGGTGACAGAATGAGACTGTCTCAAAAACAAAATAAAACAAAATATCCATCAATGGCCAGGCAAAGAAGTGGCTAATGCCTGTAATCCCAGCACTTTGGGAGGCCAAGCCGGGCGGATTGCTTGAGCCCAGCAGCTTGAGACAAGCCTGGACAACATGGTGAGATCCAGTCTCTACAAAAAATACAAAAAATTGTAGCTAGGCATGGTGGCAAGTGCCTCAACACTCAGCTACTTGGTAGGCTGAGGCAGGAGGATCACTTGAGCCCAGGAGGCAGGTATTGCAAAGAGCCAAGATCATGCCTCTGCACTCCAGCCTAGACAACCAAGTAAGACCCTGTCTCAAAAAATAAAAATAAAAAATAAAATATTCAACACTACTTAGATGTTCATTATACTATTCTATTTTCAAATATTTACCATTTTCCATATAAGATTTTAAGCTCATACAAGTTACATTGTTCTTGAAAATAACCAAATATAAATATTCCCATAAAGTCTTGAATAAGAATTCATGGGAATAGGGCCAGGCATGGTGGCTCACACTTGTAATCCCAGTACTTCGGGAGGCTGAGCCAAGCGGATTACTTGAGGCCAGGAGTTCCAGACCAGCCTGGCCAACGTGGCAAAACCTCGTTTCTACTAAAAACAGAAAAATCAGCCAGGAGTGATGGCGCACACTTGTAATCTCAGCTACTCAGGAGGCTGAGGTACAAGAAACACTTGAACCCCAGAGGCAGAAGTTGCAGTGAGCCGAGATTGGCCACTGCACTGCAGTCTAGACAACAGTGAGACTCTGTCTCAAATTTAAAAAAAAAATAAAATTTATGGGGATAAATATTCTTCAGTATTCATCATTAGAGTTGAAGGGAATAACTACAAAGGATTTGAGTTTTGAGTTTGGATTTGAAAGTGCCAGACATGAATTGGTGGAGTAGAAGCCGTGGTGGCTACAGGGAAGACAACAGCCAGTACATTTACAATGGTTGAACCACCTTTACCCACTGAATGCTCCAGAAGGGGTTGGAAGTGGGCTTTAAATACCACTTTAGTCTGGAGATACTTCACAGAAGCAGTCTGAGCCAGGAAATAGCAGCAAGAAATCTCTACCTAGCTCTCTTTAGAGAGAGATATAGCCAAACTCAAAACTCAAATCCTTTGCAAGTCTTCCTCAGTTATTCCCTTCAACTCTAATGATGAATACTGATGAATATTTATCCCCATACATTCTTTATTGAGACAGTCTCACTGTTGCCCAAGATCAAACTGCACAGTCATATCAGCTGATGACCTTACTAAAACAGCCCCAGCCATTTGGTGAATCACTAGCTAGTGGATATTTGATCAAGAAAGAGGAGCCATTTCAGGTTTACTCACCCTCTGAAACATCTACTCATTTATGCTATATGTTGACTTTAATTTTTTTTTGCTTTTTTGAGACAGTCTCGCTCTGTTGCCCAGGCTGGAGTGCAGTGGTTCGCAATCTTGGCTCATTGCAACCTCCGCCTCCCGGTTTCAAGCAGTTCTTCTGCCTCAGCCTCTTGAGTAGCTGGGACTACAGGTGCATGCCGCCACGCCCAGCTAATTTTTGTATTTTTAGCAGAGACAGGGTTTCACCGTGTTGCCCAGGCTGGACTTGAACTCCTAAGCTCAGGCAATCCACCCGCCTTGGCCTCCCAAAGTACTGGGATTATAGGCATGAGCCACTGTGCCTGGCCAACTTTATTTTTTGAGACGGAGTCTTGCTCTGTCACCCAGGCTGGGTCACTGGATTGTCCCTAAATCTTAGCTCACTGCAACTTCCACCTCCTGGGTTCAAGCAATTCTCCCGCCTCAGCCTCCCGAGTAGCTGGGACTACAGGTGTGCCCTACTGCGATTGACTAATTTTTGTATTTTTAGTAGAGACAGGGTTTCACCATGTTGGCCAGGCTGGCTTTGAACTCCCGACCTCAGGTGATCTGCCTACCTCAGCCTCCTAAAGTGCTGGGATTACAGGCATGAGCCACCATGCCTGGCCAACTTTAGATTCAATGGAGCAGACAAATGTTATAACCATGCAAAATAGCTCTTCAACAAAATCTAAACTATCTTCACAAAGTCATTATGAGAGAAATAGTTGGCCAACTCATTTTTTAATAGGAAATTTGCTACCCTTTAGGCAGCTCCTCTTATCATGGGCCAGGTCTAACTTCTAAAGTTTGACCTCATATTAAAGCCGTCAGCCTCCTACTAATGTCTATCCACTGTCCTAGTTTTTTAGA